GGGCGGCGGCCCACGCCCCCCCCCCCCCGAGGAAGTTACCGGAGTCCGGGCGCCGCTTCTCTTTCCTGCTCCCCGCCGCGGCCGGCCCCCAGCGGAGAGGGTCGGAAGGAGGCGACGGAGCCAAAACCCGGGACGAGGGAGGGGGCGTCTGGTTATATCCTCGGGAGCGGGACCGGTCCGAGCCCCTTCTTTCTTGCGCGCCCGCCGGGCGAGAGCTTAGAGCCGGCACGGCTCCTCAGGCTGGGCCAGCCTTTCCTGCTCTGCTGAGCCTCCCCGTACGTGACAAAGCACCCATGCCGGCCGAGGGGGAGGTGGTGGTGGTGGAAGAGAAGGAGGAGGAGGAGGCGGCAGCAGCGGCGGCTGTTGCACCACCAATTCCCAGCCGGCGCCGCTTTCCTTGTTCTGCTGCTGCTCCGAGCGCCGTCGGCGGTGTTGCTCCTCACATGGTCCTTCGGAGCCTTTTTAAACTCCGCTTCCTCAAAAGCCCTCGGCCCAGGCAGCTGCACGACCCGGGGGAGGAGCCAAAGCAACCGAGGAAAGGCTCGGAGCGGTTTCTTCCTCTCTCCCCTCCCCCCCGCCTGCCCTTTCAGCGAGCAAGGAAGGAAACCAGCCCGCTCCTACTCCGGAGCGCATTCCAAGCGAAGCTCCGCCTCAGCTTGCCTTTTCCTCCTTGCCGTGGCTTTTCACGCCGGTCCCGCCCAAGAGGGGCCGGCCCCGGAGGCGGGGCCTCGCAGCAATCCCGGGGGAATGATTTTGCATAGCTTGGAGCCGGTCCTCCCTGTCGCCGGGTTTGGGAAAAAAAAGGGGGAAACACAGAACGCTGCGCGGCGACCGGCGGCGACGAAGGGTCTTGTGACGCTTTAAGGATGACGGGCATAAACTTTCGTGGGAGGGTAGCCGACTCAAGGGAGCTCTTAACCGACTCCACGCTATTATTCCACGGAAGTGGATGCCGAATAAAAGGATGTCGTCTTTAAGGCGGCACAGGACTCTTCGTTGCGTGTGCGCCCACGCAGAAGACTGTTTTGCAAGGCCCGCTTGGTTCCAAAGGGGCAGAGAGAACGAGGGAATTCGGAGCGCGGGGGGGGGAAGGCGCTGCTTGGTTACCTATGGTTTCTTTTGCTTCCCCGAGTCGAGGTGATCCCAGGCGCCCTTTAAACCAGCTGGCTCGGAGAGGAGAGTGAACGATGCGGGCAGCCTCCTCTTCTTGCCTTGTCGTCGTCACAGGGCTGTTGGGCAACTCTTGAGTGGTCGATCAAACCAGCCGCCGCCGTCTCAGCCCGGGTAGATTTTCGGGTCAAACGAGAGTTCAGTGTTCAGTTTCTGTTAGAGCTGGAAGGGAGGAAATGGGAACCAGAGAGCTGGGAATGATTTACTCCCCCCCCATCTTGTCAGGCTGTCCCAGCTGGCTTAACAGGAAACTCGAAGTATATTACCTCCATACACACAAACACATATGCACACACATGCAGACTCCTTGAGGATTTAGACTTGCACCTTTTTTTTTAATGAAAGAGGAGGAGAAGGGGAAAAAGGAACCGCGGAGCCCTGCGAAACAGGGCGGGGACGAAAGTCAAAGCTGAGGAAAAAATAGCTTCAAGGACAGCGATTCCGTGTGAGGAAGCTGTTCGTGAGAAAAAGAAAATATTTGATATGCTGTTTTGGCGCGCGCGCACACACGCACACTCACAGATGACTAGTATCGACCTACAGATACGAAAGTGGTAATTTCACGATTATTTACTCATTTAGTGTTCTCGTCTCCAGCACCGTGTATTATCTGTATAGCACTTGGTGGTGGTGTTTCTTCCCCCCTCCCCCTAAATTTACAAAGTGCCCTACAACCTTTAGGTGAAGAGATTTCCCTCTCAAACTGTAGTCCTCCTGAACCTGCAAGCCAGGACAAACCCCATTTTACAGATGAGGAAGGTTAGGCAAGAAAAATTAAGAGTTTTGATTTGGAACAGAGCAGTGGGGCCCTCTTATACAGCTCTACTCAGCCCCAATGAATTCAGTGGAGTTTAATGCCCAGCAAATGAACACACTTACTATACAGTGTACACATTGTCCTAGGAATATTCCCCTGCTGAACTCAGTAAATCTTTAGTTGAAACCTACACAATACAGTACAGAACATTTTTACATAGCCCCTGGGCCCTACCAATATTCAGCGTAGTGCTCTCACTCATGAATTACAATTCAAAAAAATACATTTAAGGCTTCATTCCTATACCTAAATGTCTGGGAATAAGCTCTACCAATGCAATAGGATTCAGTCCACAGTAGACATGTATAGGATTGCATGCTAAATTTTTAAGCAAAAAGTAAAACTTCTGGATGTAATCCTCTCCATCCAAAAGTTCTACGAGAGCTTTAGAAACAACTGAACAGTTCGGAAACTTCTAAAAGCTAAAAGAAGTTCAGTAATTTTGCATTTCCCCTTGCAATGCTGTGAGAATACAATAGCCATGTCACTTGCTTTTTAAAATTCCCTCTCTGTGAGACAACTTTTAAAAGTACTGGCCTCCCACCAGCAAAATAGCATGATCCCAACAACTGAAAAGATCCAACAACATACAGTATTCCTCATCCAGGGAGATCAGAGAGCATTCACACACACGCATATTTGGAGAGAGCACAGGCAGGGCCCTGACACCACCCGCAATACCGCCTCTAGTAAGAAGGCAGGCAAAGAGTGAACTGGCTGAGGAGTTAGTGAAAGTTAGCCTTCTATGACCCTTCCATAGCTGGGCTGCTATATAATGAATTTAAACATCAGGACAGTTTGAGCAGTATCAAACTGATGCAAGTGGTTAGTGCAGATATACCTAAAGAGTATGTACTGTTCCTCCCACTTTTCCATCATATTTTCTGATCAGCTTATTATTTCCTCTCTTTTGCATGCTCCCTACATCCATTTTGAACCCTATCCCTGACAGCGGCATTTCAACAAATGTGTCAAGTCTGGCCTGCATTTTATTCTTTGGAACTGGCAGGGCTGTAAGAATTAGAAACAAGGAGACCTGCCTGGTTTGTTTGTTCAAATGTCCCCATTATGCACATTGCTGGCAGCTTGACAGACAAGTAGCTGCTGACTTTCTGAAAGAGAAAAAAATTACCTGCAGGCTTAAGAGAGTGGCAGCCATTCAGCTCAAATATATGTGTGTGAGAAAAAGGGAAGGTAGGAGAGGTGGAAAACCATTCTTCTTGTTGTCTGTCAAGGGCCTGGAAGTACAACACAGAGCCTTATCAAAGATTCTGATCTGCCAATTCATCCACCTGCTAAACCATATTTTCTCTTCTTCCCTTTCCAAGATGATTTAAAGACCAGTGATCTAGCTGGCAGAGATGTCTTTTAATATAGATATAGTTTTGTAAACAACTTTCTAAGCTGCAAATGGCTGCAAAAAACACCACCATACCGTCTTACTTGTGCATATACAATAGACTGTGGTCACACCAGCAAAATGTTTCCAAGTTACTCCTCACCGTTTTTTGGGGGGTTCAGATGATGTACAGCCATTACTGATTCTTTTGTTCCCCCTCTATGCTATCTCTGCATCAAATCAAGACCACTTGAAGGCTACTACTATATTTGTTCTGTGTTTCATCGCACAGTAAAACCAACATTCCATTGAGTGTGTACTACTAAATTGATTTGTTTTCTTTACATCTGGCATGTGGTCCCACCTCCCCCACCTGCTGTCGTTCTACTCCCTTCATTTTTTAAAAAAATAATTTTCAAAGGGGGGTGTCAGCGCGTTGGCATGCTTCTGTCAAAGTACTTGAGGAGGGTTTTCTTGGCCTGCCACCCACGGCATGCTTCTGCTATGTGGTGCTAAGAAAATGCACTTTTGAGGTATTCTTGCGGCACAGATATGACACAGTGATGTACCCCAAAAAGTTTTTTAAAAAGGGGAAGGAGGGCAGACAAACACACAGAAAAGGAAGGATATGTCCTGCTTGAGGGGTATAGACAAACATGCCACATCTGATTTACCTTTAAAAAGGTGGAATGGTTAAAAAACATATGAGCCACTATCACAGGATATATGCCATGTGACCACAATGCGTGACCATAGAGTAAGTAGAAGATGCAAGAAAGAAGGGGGGGGGCATTTCTTTAGTGTGACTGCGGCCATACTCTGCCTACAAGAAGAGAAACTGTCATTGCCTCTTGGGACTTTTGCACACTCATCCTGACATGCTAGGAAAAGTTATAGAGAAAAATACAAAACGTGCATGCAAATTCTATCTGTACGGAAGTGAGCTTTGAGCATTTTAATTTTCAAAGCATCAGCTTTTTGTAGATCTTGAAGTGGTGGAGTACAGTGACAAAGAGTAACACATTTTATTATCGCTTAAGCTTTTTTGG